ACAGACATAGCCATACAATCCTTCATTCACTGGGTCCTTAAGCCAACAATGAGTATTTACCGTATACAGATATTAGGAGAGTAAAAGAAAGGCCTGCTTCTCCCTACAGCCCTGCCCCACCCCTTGTCAGCCTTGTAAGCCCATCTAGCCCCCTTAAGACCCTCACAAGGCCAGGGCTGGGGCCCAGCTGAACTGTGAGGCAGCATGGGTCCCAGGAGGAGCTATCTCTGGCTCCCTTCACCCGCCTACATCCTTGGTGGCCCTAAGACAGGTTTATGGAGGATGAATTGAGGCTGTCTCCCTGCTGGCAGGTTTATTTCTTCATTTTTCAAGCCCTGCTCTGATTTTTTTCACCTTGGCCTCCCTACCCTCACTGACTCCTGGCAAACTTCCTCTCCCTCCCCCTTGTCTGACAGCCTGCTTAGGCGGAGGGCCATCGGCCTCCAAGGTGATTGAGTTATGGGGGAGACAGGCCAGGCTCTGCAGGAGTGCTTTTGGCTTCCTGCCTTACAGAGGGCTGGCGAGGCTTGAAGGGTGGCAACAGTGGGCTATGGATCCCCTACATGGCCCCAGTCCTCAGACATAGCCTGAGATACAGCCCTGCCCACCACCTTGGCTAGCCCTGATTAGGCCTCAGTTTCCCTTCCTGAGAGATGGACAGACCCAGAGCTAGAAGGAAGGTGAGGTGTTAGGGCATCTGACAGCTAACTCTTGAGGGAGACTTCCTAAACATCTGCTGTCCCTGTACTGTGGGCCAGGAACCCAGAAGGCGGAAAGAAGGGAAGCGCATGCTTATAAAGTACCTAGTGTGCGCACCAACCCTCCAGCAGCAGCCTATAGAGACAGTATGGTGACAGTGGGTCAGAATTGCTGGCCACATTGTTTTGTTTTGAATTGTTGATAAAGTTCATTTGTTTGGTTAGTTGACTGGTGTTTGTTTTGAGACAAGTCTTGTTATGTAACACAGGCTGGACTCAGATTCACTATGTAGCTCAGGCTAGCCTCCAACTCTCAGCAATCCTCTTGCCTCAGCCTTCTGAGTGCTGGGGTTGCAGGTTTGTGCCCCATGTCTGGCTTGCTAGCCTTGTTTTTACAGCTCAAAGTACAAATGTTTCCTCCCATTGGCCTTTGGGCTCCTGGAAGATAGGAACTCTGGATCCTTGGGGACTATAGAAGGTTGGATACTGAGGTAAGACCCCAAAAGAGATTGGTGACCAGAGAAGTGAAGAAAGCAACCCAAGGTCACACAGCTAGAAGCAGAGCCCTGTTCTGCCTGACTCCCACACCCTGCTTGGCTCAGTGGCACCAAGCCACCTCTTCTCATCTGACTGTTGGCAGAAGGGCCTGCCATTCCAGCTAGCAGTGCCCAGCCACATGCCTGCTATGGTGGACTGAGAACCTAGTGATGCCAAGGCTTGCCTCCTCTCCAGCCAGTGTCTGTCCCTCTGCTGGTCAGGCCCCACCTGCTGCCTCTTCCCCAGGAAGGAGGGGTGAGAGGGGAAAGCCCCCTCTCTCCATGCTGCTCCTGAACTCCAGCTCATGGAAATGAAAAACACATTGGCTTCATTATCCTCAGATTGAATGAGCAGGGTTGCCATGGCGACAGCCATCTCAGGCCGGTAAGGGGGCAGGGAAGGGGCTGGTGAGACCAAGGGAAGTGGGGGCCGGGCAGCGGGTGCTCAGGCACGTCAGGCGGGCAGGCCACAGGAACAATTGTCATTTGTACCACCCACCCTCTTGAGAAGCCAGCCTGGCTTCCAATCAACATCCTTGAATGGAGAGAGGCAGAGGGACCAAACAGGCAGGAGCATCCTCCTCTGACTTCCCTTTATATGCTTATTCCTTTTCTTGGAAAGATGCCTGGGTGGTGGCAGGCTCCATCCTGGAGCCATTCTGTAGGTCAAGAGACAGATAGAGCCAGGAGACAGTCAGCAGGCCCACTCCCCAGTAGAGACCAACATAGGGGCTCCACTGGCCTCCTGGGGACATCGCTGCAGGAAATACCATAAAACACCAGGTTGCATGTGCCTGGTGATACCTTGAAGGGTCTCCAGTATAAACCTCTTGGGAGGCTGGGTCTCCACATGCCGATAGGACAATAGGACATGCCAATAGGGTGGATGGTAGTGGCTGTGAGGAGGTCTCAGGCAGGGCTTCTTGGAGCCAGGCTATCCCATGACCATGACCCTGACCCTGCCAGAGCCAAAATCCTAATATCCATATGGGCTTTCCCCTCCACAGAGCCTGGTGTCCCTGCTCTTCCACCCACAGCCATACCCAGTTAAGGGCCCAGTCTTGTCACCCTGTGCTAAGCCTTTCACCCAAGTGGAGGGGGCAGCTGAACCCCTTTTTCCTCTGGGCACCCTGGTGATTGAAGAACTCCAGCTGTCCATCTGGAGGACTCCCTGTGTCATGTGGCCTGATGAAGAAGCCTTAGGTAACATTTCATGTGACCAGACCCTGAAGGGTTACCACCAAAGCCTTGCTTTGAGGGACTGTGTGCTCACGAATCAGTACTGCTGACCGAATGACACAGTCCACTCAGGAACCCAGTGCTGACCCCAACTCTAGTGTACACCTTACCCTCAGCCCCAGTCCCAGCTCAGATGCAGCACCTGGACACCCCACTGCTCTAGCCCTCCCCTTAATAAAGCACTCTCCCCACTTGCCTGTGTCTCACCTCTTACAAGGCCAGGAGGGGAAATGACTTGCCCAGGGACTACTCGTGTGTGTGTGTGTGTGTGTGTGTGTGTGTGTGTAGGTAGGTAGGTAGGTAGGTAGGTAGGTAGGTTAGGTAGGTAGGTAGGTAGATCAGAGTAGCACAGCCTGGTGTAGAATATCTCTTTTCCAGCCAGGCCTTCGGTCCCTACTGAAATGAGCCAAGAGACCCCATGGCCTTGGGTCAGAGCCAACCTTCTCCAGGGCTGGTGACAGCTCCCCTAATCAGGACAGGTTGCAGGGGAGCCGAGAGTACCTGGGTTTCAGCTCTCTGGTGACCCCTTACAATGGGGAGGAGCCATTAGAGGTAATCCAGAACTGAATATCCTCTTTGAGCCAAAGTAAGGGGGATAGTCCATGGCCCTAGCCACAAGTGGGCATATACTGAGGAGACAGGTGATGACAAAAGCCTGTAGTTGCCCTGCCCTCCTGCCAAGTGAGGCATGTGTAAGTGAAAGGCTACAGAGAGGCCACCCAGGGTTCCCAAGCAAACTACAAGCCCATCCCAGGGGCTTGTACTAAAATGCAGGCTCCCTGGCCTTTCTAGGGTCAGTGGGACATGCCAGGTCAATGCATTTGACTTTGCCCCCAAAGGCTGACCAGCTTACCTCAAAGTCTGAGGCCTTGTGCTTGGGCCTTGTTGGCTGAGGTCTTTTCCTCTGTGCCTCAGATCAAAATTGAAAAGCCTTTTCTAGAACCTCACACCTCTCCCCAAGGCCTTGTCCATCAACTTTCCTTTCTCTATAGTCCTCAGTCTCCAGCCCCTATGGCATCAACCCTCTGTGACCTCCCATGACACTGCTTGTCCTGGGCCCGCCTCCCAGCCACCACCAGGGCCACCGCCCTGCTCCCCACCCACAGGCCTGCAGAGGGCGGCTGCTGGGCAAGCCTATCATTTTCCCAGTCGGGGATTATAGGTTTGAGGCTCAGGGCGTCTTGGGAAGGAGGAGCTGGAACTCTGGTACAATGCCAGAAAAAGACACCTCACAGGAGGGGGAGGTGGGGGGCTCAAGTGTTAGTGTTTGGGCCGGGCTTGGGATTCCTACAACCTGACTGTTCAGAACTCGTGTGTGTGTGTGTGTGTGTGTGTGTGTGTGTGTGTGTGTGTGTTTGCACCTCTCCTAAAGGTCACAACCTCTCTTTACGCTCATGGTTTAATCCTCCTAATGATCTCAAGTACAAATTCAGATTTTCCAGATTCAAAAATGACAAGACTCTGGCTGAGAAGGTGACTCAGTCAGTACAACCCTCGCCATGTAAGAATGAGGCCCCGAGTTCAGATCCCCAGGACCCATGTAAAAAGCCAGGTACAGTGGTACTTGCTTGTAATCCTAACTGTGGCGAGCTGCGGGGTGGAGATAGGTGGATCCCTGGAGCTCACTAGCTCACTAGCCAGCTAGTCTAGTCTACTTGGTGAAATTCCAGACCACTGAGGACGCTGTCTCAAACAAAAAGTTGGAAGTAACTGAAGTTGTCCTCTGACCTCCACATGGGTGTGCACACACCTATGCACACATATACACACAAAAGACAAACCTTAGAAAGGGCAGCATATAGGCCTGGTCACATACCAGGGTAGGGCAGAACCAGGATTGGGCTACTCCCTGGTACCCGGTGGGTAGCCTCCTGCTTGTCCACTCAGCAGGGGCAGCCTGTGCCTGGCTGGTTTACTCAGACCTTGAGCTTGACTTCCCTTCTGTTCTGTGGTCACAGGGCCCTAGGCTAAACTTGGAGGAGATAGTATGAACCATACTCAAGGTGGTCAGGAAAATCTCCCAGTGGTCTGTGTGCAAATTGGGGTGGGGCTAAACACCTGTGAGGCATCTCAGCTCCTCTGGAGGATATAGAGAAATGTGTACGCCATAGATAGGTGCTGAGAACCCCAAGGGGCTTGAATACTTAAGGAACCTGTGACTCAGGGAACATGGTTGCATGAATGGGTCTGAACACTGACTTTCCATTCAGACCTCTGTGCTGGGATCTGAGACCCTTGGGACACCTCAGAAGAGTTAATGCACCTGTCCCCCTGGTGCTGCTGACTGACTGTGTGATACATGTTCCGGGGATCCCTCCTCGTCTTGCTATCAGTACTTCAGCCCTGATCTCCACCATCTGAGCAGCAAGGGCTGGAGCAGGACACCAGCATGCTTCAAGCTGCCAGAAGGGGCCCCTGTGGGCACTCCCAGGCTATGGTGCTGGGGAACTAGTGTTTCTTCAGGGTGAGCTGGCCAGCCACTGACAGCCAGAGTGACCTCACAGAGCCAACCTATGGTTCCTTCCAGGCCCCAGGGAGCAAGAGGGAGCCATGGCTAGGGGAGGCCTGCCTGTTCTTGGGAATTCACGACATGTCTGCCTGTCGCAAGTACCTCGATAAGGAAGATTTGTGGGTGAGATTTGCAATTCTGTTTTCTCTGAGGGTTATAAATCAGTGGCATGCACGTCTTCCATGCAGCACAGACTGGAGGCTTCTGGGTACACATGGGCACACATAGGAGCCCAGGCCCTATTTGGTGTTTTCTGGAGCAGGATAAGGACTCCTTAAGGGAGTAGAGTACCAAGAAGGGAAAACCCAGAGCTTGTGACTGCTGCCTGCCCTAACAGGGTCCCGGAACTATCCAAAATCAGACACAAGACTCAGAAGTAGGCAAGATTACCAGTGTGAGCTCTGGTTCAACTCTTGGCTCAGCAGCTTACTATCCCTATTCCCTTGAACACATTGCTTTCGAAACTTCCTGCCTCAGTTTCCCTATATGTGAAATGGGGCTCATTATAGCATATACTAGTTGAAAGAATAAAATAAAATACTATATATAAAATGCTTAAAATGGGATAGAACACACAAGAGCTTAGGAAGGCTTGGCTGTCATCAGCATCCCTTAAGAGTCTGCTGCTGTGGCCAGGGAGATGGTTCAGTCAGCAAAGTGCAAGCATGAAGATGTGAATTTGATCCCTAGCACCCATGTAAAGCACCAGTCACGGTGACACATGCTTGTAGTTCTACACTGGGGAAGAGAAGACAAGATGAATCCCTGGGTCTTGCTGGTCAGCTAGCCTAACCTATCAGTGAGCCCCAGGTCCCAGTGAAAGACCTTGTCTCAAAAAACAAAGTGGCTGAGGAGGGGCCTGAAGAAGAATGATACCCAAGACTGACCTGTGGCATCCATATGCATGCACATATATGTGTGCCCTACCCTCCACATAAGCACACACAAACACAGGAACGCACACAAAGAGTATATCACCATCATCACTTAAGGATCTGAACCTCAGCTCTGTGCTTCAGTTAGCTGTGTGAATTGGTCCTGTCTGAGCTTCCAGCCCCTGCACTATGAAATGGACAGTTACTACCACAGTTGCTGGGTCATAGCCTTGAAGGATGCAGTATGGGGCCCTCTGGATGGGTCCACCATTGCTGTGTCTGCCTTAAGGTGGGTTCAGGGCCTGGGGCCTTGCTTTGGAGCCTCCAGGTGGCTCTGCTCTGTGATCTGTCTTCCTGGAGGACAGTATGCTGGATGTTTAGAGGACATCCAGCTCTGGGAGCAGAGCTGAAGGGAAAATTCCAGGAACATCTGTCTCCCTTTCACCACAGGGCAAGAAACCACTAGCCACAGTATCCCCCCTACCCCAACTCTCCTTCCCTCTCCTGAGCTGTGAGCTTGAGAGTGAGCCCTGGAGAGGGGCAGGTGTGAGTCACTGCTGTGCCATGCACTTACTGGGTGGCCTTGGGTAGGTCATTTAATTCCCCCGCTCCCTTCGGTGAAGGATAATTGTGCCTGCCTCGCCAGGCAGCTGGAGAGCACGTTAAATGAGATAATGCGTGTGGACCACTTAGCCCAGCTCCCAGTGGTGGCTGCCAGATAAGTGCTCTGTGAATGCCATCAAGCTCCTCTCCCTGGAGCACCTGATGTGTGGATGGCGTCTGCTCAGGCCAGACCTTGTAATATTTCTTTCTGAGAAAATGAGCTTTAAATCTGGGAAATCTAGGAGCAACCCTAGGCAAGTGTAGATAGAGGGAACAATCAGACTGACCCTGTTCTCATCCAGGTCCCCTGCATTGGCTGTGTCAGCTCTTGAGTGTGCCCAGCCCTTGATGGCCCACCGCCTCCTGCCCATACGCCATTACTGTCTCCTGGGGTCCATGGGTGCTGTCAAACACAGGCTTGCTTCCAAGCTGTTCCTGGCATTTTTACCTGCTCAGCCATAAAGCCCTGGAAAGCAATGAATCTGGGGAGTAGATGCCTGCACAAGCACAGGGGGAGAGAGGGGGAACAGCTCCCATATTTTTGCAGAGCTGGCATTTTTACACCTCTCCCTCCCAGCTCGCTGCTGGGGCGAGCAGGATGGTGAAGCCTTGGCCTCAGATAATTGTTGGGAGCATCCCAGGCCAAACCAAGTCTCCTTGTCAGAACTTTGGAGGCTGGACTTCTCTGTTGCCTGGGAAACCAGTGTGTTCCCTGGAAAGGAAACCACAGGGCTTTGGCTGTTAAGATGCGCACCCCCACCTGCACTCCCCCAAAATGAGAGCTCCCTGCAAAACTCATTCCCCCTGAAAGCACCAGGCAACAGAATCCCACTTCCTCCCCGAAGCTCACTGAAATGGCTAGAAAATGAGATCTGCCCCGACCTTGTGTTTTCTACCTCTCTTTTTAAAACATTCCACTGTAGCGCAAGGACATGTTTTGTGTTTTCTTATTTATCTTCCTCTCCTGCCAGCTGGGGCTCCAAGTCTTTCTCTCCTCTTATTGACTGGAGCCAGAAGGGAAAGGACTTCCACTTTATTCTTCCCCTTCAGCTGTCAGCAGAAATAAACTAGCAGGCTTATATTTGGAAAACAGAGGGTCTTGGCCATCAGATCGCTATGTCCAGGGCAGGTCACAGCCTTTGTATCCCTCCTCCTATAACTGGGATTTGAAATCTGACCTACAGATTTGCAGAGCGGGGGTCAGGGGGAGGGCAGGCCTGTCTTTACTCATATAGACTTTTAGAAGTCACTGGAGGGTCATGATGATTCTCCCATAGCTGATAACATCAGGGGAGCAGACTATAGGGTATAGCCTGAGACAGTACTAGAGCTGACAGGCTGTGGGCAGCAGTGCCCCATTCCTGTCTACCGTGTGGTCTACCCACCCAGGTCACAGATGGACCTGGACTTATAGCGAGGCTACCAGATCCTCTAAGAAGAGAATCTTAATGCATGATCCAGTGCCCTGTGCTTTGTTGGGAAGGAGCTAAACAAAGCATGGACAGAGAGAGAGGGAGGGAGGGAGGGAGGGAGTCGAGTTCAAGGCTAGCCTGGTCAATATAGAAAATTCCAGCCTGCTGGGGCCAAGTATTGAGACCCTGTCTATTAAAGGAGGGAGGGAGGGAGGGAGGGAGGGAGGTATCTTGGGCACACCTGGAGGCTCTTAGTGTTCACTAGAGGAGGGCAAAGAGATGAAGAGACCTTGGTCCAACCACAGGCACACCCCTCCCTCCTTGGGACCTGGATTTCCCCACCCCAGCCTCTGCTGAGACCTGACACCCCAGGGTGACCTGCGCTCCCAGGGCCACTTTGTTTTGGTGATCTGAACAGTTAATTTGTCACCCACAAGTGACTCCCTGTTCCGTAAGTAATTTTAAACAAATCCTGTTCCTGTCCCTGAATGTCTGTGGAGAGCAAACAGCTGGATTTTCCTTCATTCCCAGCAGACAGCAGACTCCAGTCGAAGGCAGCATGTGTTCTGGGAGCTGTACCTGTCAGGCAGGCATTGAGGGCCCTGTGCTTGAACCACATGAACCACCGAGTGGGCCACAGAATCAGTAGAGAGAGAGCTGAGAGCCCAAAGAAGCATCTTAGGATGTCAAGGCCTTTGCAGCCCCATTCTGGATTTACATGGATCTTTCTCGTTGATTCCTGAAGTCCTGTCAGCTCTTGCTATTAGCGCGAGGCTCTCAGAGTGTAGAGTAAACTAATGAATTACAGCATGATTACACAGCACATAATTAACTTTGTAATTAATATGCAACTGCCACTTAAGCTAAAACACTGCTTATAGAGACGTACAGCAATAGTAAATCACAGGTCAGAAACGGGCTTCAGAATTTTCAGAAGAATGAGCAGAAGCCAGGAATCATGCAAGGCCACGGGGTGAGTTAATTAAAATTGGATGAATAGTGAGAGTCCTGTTTTCTTTCAGCACCTTCTCCTTTAAGAAAGATTCCTATGGCATCTTGCTGGGCTGACTAACCAGGCTTAGCCAAACATGGCCCCAGAGCAGCACCTAAGCCTTACTTCCCTGCCCATTCCATGTCTTGGCCCTGGGACCTGGCTGCACTCCTTCCTCCTCAATGAAACCTGCCGGGAAGCTGGGGAGTACCCTTCCTTCAGTGCCCAACTCTGTGTGGGGCATGACCACCAGGTGACTGGAAGCCTATATTTTAGGCTTCCAGAAGTCAAAGGTGCCATTATCCCTCAGCCTTAGCCAAAGTGTTAAAACTAGAAGATTCCTTAGAAATCATTTCACCCAGCCCTGTCTTCCCCAAGGCCAATCAAGGGACTAAGTATGTCATTCCCATGGCAATGCAGTCTTGGGCTGAGCCCAAAGCCCCTCATCCCACCACCCTTTGTTCTAGGCTAGTGCCGGGCAAGTTAACACAGCCATTGCTGCTATGGGATTAGGCCAAGGCCCTTGAAATGAGTTAGAACCCCTGCCCGCTGTATGTCCTTGGGCAAGGTGCCTAACCTCTGTGGGCCTCACTTGCCATAAGGTCAGGCAGTAAGACCCACCTTGATAGGCAGGAGTGGGAAGATGCACATGAAGAGGACTGTTGCAGTGAGTGCTCTCTACATGTGGAGCACCCCTCAGCCTCTGGGGCTTCAGCAGCTAAGGAAACAGACCCAGAGAGGTCGAGTGTATGTCCATAGTACTGCACATGAGTTGGTGTACTTGGGACACCCCCCCCGCCCCCCACGCCAGACCGGGAATGATGAAGGATAAACACCTCTTTTCAAGTGTCCCACCCTGGACTGGGTCCCCATGACTCAGTTCTGGTTCCTAGCCCTAGGATCCTGTGTAGATCATTGGACTTCAGGATGGCTGCTATAAGATCTGAGTTTGAATCCTGACCTTTCCATTTTCTGTTCTGGGGCAGATTTTAAGTTTCTACATTCTTTCCCACCAGAGCTTTCCCAGTGGTAGATAGAACGAATCATTCTGCCTTTGGCTATGTTGTTATAATTCACATGAAATGTCAGATGTCAGCCTGGTGAGTTATGAGCAGAGCCTGTAGAGTGGCACACCACAGCCTTGGGGAGAAAGCCCTGGCTGTCCAGGCAACCTGGGCCACTGGGCCTGACACACCTAGCTTCTGTATCCTTTGCCTGGGTTAGGAAAGGAGGGGCATACAC